GTTCTTTCTGCCACAGCAACTGACAATCTGCTTGTGCCCATATAATTTATTCAATTTTTTGTATTTAACATTGGCATCATCTCAGTGCTTCGAAATTCAGTCATGATGAAAACAGAAACATTTATTTTCCTTCAACTCCACCCCTGTTGGACGTCGTTTTTCCCTATTTTAAGGTTCTGCATGTCTTTCTTCCGTCAACGTAATCTTCTAATTTCCTAATACAAATTTCAATACTTTTATCTGCAAGGATATCAAGAAACCCACTCAAACTCAACGTTCTGGCCCTGTAATTACTGTATTTTGAATGCATTAACGAGTTAGGATGAATGCACATATCTGTCTTCTACTGTCAAATACCTGCACCGGATAGTGTCACAGGATGGATAGGTCAAGATAGTGAATTAGATACTCTAGAAGTATCCTGACACTGCTATCCTGCCATATAACTATAACTGTGGGCATCCTGTCTGTACAATCGTAGTTAAAACCTGGCCCCCACTTGGCCTATCCTAATTATATAAAATCATGAGTCATGTACGTAAGAAAAACATCACATCACCCTAAAATTTATTTCTGGCCTCATTTCCCTTCTGGCGATAAAATTTGTCCATTAGCTGGCGAATGCCTTCTTCAACGACGCATTTCGTACAACTGATGTTTTTCAGAAGTCTCAAGATGCTACGCAACTCTTTGCATTGGAGCTTAATTAGGCGTCATCAGTTATACATTTTTAATACCATGCACATAACTGGAGGTAAGTCAGAGGAAACAGACAGTGTCTCACATTTCCTGGCGACAGCCATACCGCACCGGCGAAAAATAGGCTAATCGATTGGGATACAGCACTTACTATTAAGCCAATAATAAATGTTTAGACCGATAAAAATGTCTGCCCATACCTTTCCTTGTATTCAGACAAATAACATGGCTGGGGGGGGGCAAACAGACGTTTTAAGCCATGTTACCAAAGACGTGATCAAAGCAGAAAACTTTCCTGTCCCAAAACTAGAATTCTATAGAGCTATTGCATGAATTGCTCACATACGCAGTCTGAATCATGAACATGCGTTATAGAGGATATTCGAAAGCAAGAGAGCACCGAGACCTAAACTGAGACCAGATCTTCTTAGCTCGCTTCACACTGACATGCGTACGAGGGTTCGCGTCAGAAATCGCCTATCTGACGCCTTCTTACAATATCAGGCTTAAACCAAGACTGCATCCTCTCAGAGTCTTCATGCTTGGCAATGAGCTGGTTCCACATAATGTAGTAACGAATTATCGGTTAGCCATAGAAAACTTCCAGAAGCTG